ATAGGTTTTAAATTTGTTTTCAGATATATTTGCTCTTTCGCCTGCTTACAGCAACCAAGATCATTTTCAAAAACCTTGGAAAACTTCTGTTTCAGTTTGTCAAACATTTGAGCTGAATGGGATATTTGATTATAAACGAGATCAAATGACTGGTCGAACATTTCTAATTCTGTGGTCAAATCAATGACCAATAGATTAAAGGACTCATCAGTAACCTAACTTTGGATATAATTGTCAGATCATAAAATTGAAAAATGCATTCGTTAGTTCCAGAAATTTTGATTAGGATGCCCGATGCATTCTTTAAAGCAACCCTTCCCTATGCCCTTCGTGTTCAGCTGCTTCAACTTTTCGTAGTAGACTTCTAACCTTTGAAGAGTCATCATGTTAAGAAAAATCAACTTAAAAATGTTTTCATATTTCTTAAACTATGATTCGAAAGTGATATTAGCATCAGGATCGAAGGGGAGCTCGCTCACTGATCTAATAGTTCTTACTCGCTTGCTCACAACTGTTACTCCCAGTGGAGGAAAATAAGTCATCCACCGAAATTCTTTATCCAACTATATCCTTGACAATCCTTTACAATTCTGGGACTTGCTATTTTATCTTTCTCATGTCTGCTTCTAATTCTCGACTCAGCGTGTTATTCGACCTTCCTTTAGGATTTCATGTTACTTCGTGCTTCGTGATGCAGTTTGGTGATCTCAGTATTCTATGTCCTATGGACTTCCAGATTCTTTTCCTTATTCCCTCTTCAGCTCGAACTTGGTTTGTTCTCCCCCACATTAGGTTGTTACTGATGGTATCATGCCAATCGACGACTTCTGTGAAATCATTTCAACCATTTTCAATTATGACAATTGAGAACCTTTTTCCTACTGCTGCAACATTCATCTAGGCTGATCTTCTCAGGTTTATTTATTTTCGCGTGTGCTTGTCAGAATTAACGAAGTCATATACTGTTATGATGATCGTTGTTCAAATACTGATACTGTTACACGATTTGCTACGTGCTTATCTTCCGCACAACTGACTACTTGGGTTAGAATACAAGAGACAGAGGGGAAGCGTATTGGGCTACCATGTAAAATGCTCATAAAAATATTTATAATCCTATCTCTCGAGAAGTTAACCTACATCTTATTCAACGAGATGTACCTACAAGTCACTTTGGAATACCATTTCAAGATCTCGTAGGGTTACTTGTGACTGGCCTCCTAAATCAGACAGGAAACAATTGTTCTATGGTGAGACGTGTGAGTAACGTGTTCAAACCTAGAGATATCTATAGTGCACAATAAAGAGTAGTTCTTTTTACACAAAACAGGTATTTTATACTTCTTGATTACCAATAATCCTCAATTAATTCCATTCCGTGACGGATTTCATTGTCGAAACAAATACACGATCACAGTTCTGAAAACTAAATAAGCCGGAAATAATTGATAAAAATAGGCCTCATATATACAAGAAACAACGATGATTACCAAAACTATTAAAGATCCACTTGTGTCGTTGAATGAATCCCCAAAATAAATGGTATTGTAAGTTCACAACATTAATGCTAACTTCATTGGTTTTACTGAACACACCTAGCTGAAGGCCTTCGATCATGTATCCGCACCAGATCACGAGTGCGTATGCTGTGCTACGAATCCCTTGCAATTGTTATTCGGCTCAGACAAAAAGCTTCTTGACATATCCATAGCTCTCAAGATACATATTCGAACCACTTCATTTCTGACTTTTGAATTGACTGGTGTGGTACATTTCGATTATAAAGGTGCCTTTACACTGATGCTGGTCATTAGCACTTGCCTCATAGCCTCAGAAAACCACATTCAACTTCGATTTAACAATCGAAACCCGAGCATAATTTATAAACGTTTTGTAAGCGAATTGTGTTCTGTGAGTGCAATTTAATTTTTATTTATAACCATAAAATGAGGTATAATGAGTTGTTGGTGATGGAATGTTACAGACAAATTAAAAATATGGAGCCATTATGATCACATAGACGAAATCAGTCATTTCTTTCTCTCATGCCATTGAAGATAATACTCCATCTGATATTTATGTGTTATCCTCAACGTTGCTAAACACAAATTATAATAATTCAGTGTTTATAGAGCTGTAGTGGCATTGTTCCTAACCACACGACCTTTGAAGCAGGACATATAATTGCTGAAAAGACACATATCCAACAATGAGCACGAAGAGAAAGTTAACCAAGAGAAGGCGGGAAGAATTCGAAATTTAGCAAATCGGATGACATGGCTCAGCCTTGAAGGCGTGGTTATTGTTGTGTAACCTATCACTTTTATTTATATTAAATATATTGTTGTCTCCAGCTTAAATGTGTTCTCCGTCATATATTGGTGATTATTACGATGCAATGAGTCAGTGTAGACAATGATGTGATTTCCACATAAGATTTTATAGATTAGGCAGTTACATCATGAAAAATCTACGATCTGAGGATTAGGTCTGTTATTAGAGCAGTACCAATAATGAAGTAGGCCGTAATTCTACAGAGCTTCATAACCATCTCCAATACTATTACAAAGTATTAGTGCATGGTTGATATTATAATAAAAGTAGTCTTGTATCTCTCCTTGAATAAGATGTATAGTTGTGTGTAAACTCGATGCATGAGCGTAACACCGGTGCGTTTACACTATCTAGCCTAGCTGTGGTATTTGTATGAACTAATGATTCCTTTGTACTTGATAACTGTCTGATTTGGAATTCCAGGTACAATACGTTCGTTCGTGCTCATCTAATACCGCTTTCCTGGTTTGCACTATAAATCAAATGCTTCAAACTATCACACTAACCTCGGTTATCGGATGGTTTAATTTCAGTTTTGAGAGGTGTGCTATTCCGTCGCACGAAGCTGTTGCCCTTTGCGTGGTTTGGAGTCACCAATTTTGCGCACTGCAAACACGACACGGTTCTTCGTGAATCATATTTCAAAATTTAAGACCCTAATTCAAATATAAGTGAGCTTGTGAGCTCCGAATGGTGAACTGGCTGTCAACTCTCCCTCAGACATCCCTGAAATATTGTAACTTGTTCCACGTTACATAATTTGCTCTCACAATAAATTGAGATTCCAATAGGTCAAATACTCGTTTTACCTGTTAAAATTATAATTTTCAACTTCGACAACATATAATTTCGATAATATATTTCCAAACATGGAGGAGCGTCTAGTAACACGAAATGAATAACACAATCGTCAGTACTCGTATACACGTTAATTTGCTAGGAATGGGGGACCAGTTTCCATATAAAAATATGTTCAAAGAACACAGGGTAGTTTTTAGGTGACTGAAAGGTTATTGACACTGTTCAATCAATTTGCACATATTGACTTTATCTAACAAATCATGAAAAATAGCTGTTAACTATTCATCCGCTGAGACAACGTCTAAGATACTAATTGAAATGTTGTTGGACAACACAGTGCATAACGTTAATAATACTTTTTTATTTGAGTATGTATTGCCTAACATCATTATGACAAATGGGTTAAGCCTCTCTGAGGGTTCTCGTGGTCGCTATAATCTGGTCAGCAAATACACCGGCGCTGTTTCGGAATGAGACGAGAATTGCTTGCGCTTGTTGCGGAAGCATAGGTAATAGGGTTTGTCTAATGAGGCCTTCATCAAAGGTCTTTTGATCAACGACGTCTTGTATACATAATAACATTTCCATTTCTGACGCGCGTTGTAATTTTTTGCTGTAGAACAGTTGGTTTAACATTTTTCGGTGGATTATGTCCCTGAACTTAAGGATTGCTTTCTATAAAGTGTCATAACGATCTGAAAAATCACTCATTGGCATACTAGATGTGACGTCTGTTTCAATATCAGGTGATAGTGCCTTCTCAACAACGAGGGGTCGAACACGTGTGACTGTTTCGTCGTGCACACGGTAGTCAGCAGAACAAAACTTCGATATTTTAAGTAAGAATAGAATGAGTTGAGATTTGGGATTCATAAGAGTCCAATTCTTGAATAGTTTAGGATTTCTTTGCTTATAATGAGGATAAAATATGTAAACTGCTGAAAAATTCGAGGATATAGAAGTAATGTGGCGATATGTGAAAATAAAGATGAAAACGATATATATGTTTTAACAAGTAATAGATTCGAGGTTTATCGTTTTTTGTATGATACCACGTCGTCCTCACCACTTAAGATGTCACAGATATTCAGAGCTTAAGAATGTCTTTAAATGTAACACGTTTATAATCGAAATATACCACACCAGTCAATTCAAAAGTCAGAAATGAAGTGGTTCGAAGATGTATCTTGAGAGCTATCGATATGTCAAGAAGCTTTTTGTCTGAGCCGAATAACAATTGCAAGGGATTCGTAGCACAGCATACGCACTCGTGATCTGGTGCGGATACATGATCGAAGGCCTTCAGCTAGGTGTGTTCAGTAAAACCAATGAAGTTAGCATTAATGTTGTGAACTTACAATTTTGGGATTTGTTTATCGCAACAACTCAGAAAATATCTTTCATAATGACTCCTACAAACTCGCCTCATAGTTTTAGAACATTATAACAACTCGGGATCTACAACTTACTACCCATTAAGAATAGGGAATGAATCTTCATTTTCATTTCAACTCGTAATTAACAGTTGTTACTTAACAGACCGACATCTATAGGTGTTAGTGTACTGCTGTTGCTTCAAACAAAAGGTAGGGAAGACAAATATCGTTTCATGATACCTTTGACAGCCAAAGGATATCTCTCATGCAACCATATTTTTCTAAATAGTGTGAAATTTCTTTAGAGATTAGTAAACATTCACATAAAACTTTGTCAGAAATAATACTTTTGATAGGTACATTCCCCCTCCTTCGCTGACCTTGCATTTGTTTGAGCTGATGAATATTTTCAACTTTTTAACCCGCACAAATGGAATTCCTATTGTTTTATCGGGAATATTAGTTAATTGTAAATGCTCTCAGAGGAATATGCCTTGCTTTCTGATTAAAAAAATTGATACAGGTACGTCAAAATTAATTTACTGACACCTTTCGCCGATCATGAAACACAGAAAATTATCGTTATTTATGTCGAAATCTATTTGACAATGACAATAGATGGCAACCACTACTATTCAAGCTTTTATCGCAGTTTAAGCGTATTAAATTGATATAAGGTTTAGAATTTGTTTCCTTTTTATACAAAATTGCTGCAAAGTTGCTAAAATCACTTTGTAGTCTAAAAATTTATGACTCATTGAGTGATAATAAACAAGTAAATAGCTAGGAAGTGAAATCTCAGAATAAGCTTTTCGTTAAATTGTATATCAATGAATCTGCGTGAAAGCCTTCAAGCTTTATCCAGTGTTCAATTAGTAGTGTATCTCTCTTCGTTAGTGGAACTGAATAAATAATTGAACCAATTTTTCGGCACAATAGTGATATTTCTGAAGCAAAGTTTAGATAGTCATCATGTACACTTAGAAAGTTCATGAACTCGTTCATATAGACGACGTCACCCTTTTTGATTAAACGAAAGAGTAACATTGCACAGTGTGACGCAAATTGAACTTTAAGTAGGCTAAAAGTCAAGGATTTAAGTATGTTTATTTTTCATACTAATGTAATATTTACTATTGTCAGAATTTCCTGAAACAAGATGGGCTAAGTCAATGTAAGGCAGGTTTATTTCAGAAAATAAATAGACTGGTTAAAGTTGTTGTCAAGCGCTGTAATACAGAATGTAAACCATGTATATTCATTAAGTATACTTTATAGAATACAGGAAATACGTGTATGTTCAGAGGACACTAAGTACAAGTTACAGATATCAACACCGACTTTTGACGAATATTTGTTTTCATGCTCAGCCTCGTAAGCCTTACATTTTAATGGAGTTTAAACGCTACTGGTATATGAATGGTGGTCACTTTAATCATGTCAAATGATAGATTTTATGACAATTCTTCCCTCATTTTTGTCTGTTTACCATAAGATATCAAAAATAAAGGAAAAGATTGAATATAGGTAATCCAAAAGCTGCATGGTTGATGACTGCTATTGTAAGCTTTATGGATTCACCTAGACTTTTTCGAGATAACATTGGTCATTAAAGAAATTATGTGTTTTGAATAACAAGTATCTCTGTGATTAGTTTCCACTAATTTTATACTTAAATAGGGTTGAGGCTTCATCAAGAATTTCATTTTATAAACAACATGTTTGAAATGGTTCTTGTTGCTACTTCCTCTAGTCCTATAGCTGAAATACTATAAATATGTAATACTTGCTTATCACCAATACGTCAAAAGATTCATTGAGCACAGATAGATTTAAACAACCCCAGATGACTTTGTTTGTTATTTAAAGAGACGATTGTAATTTTTGTTTGTAAAACACCTTTATATGTTTACGTCATGCTTATTAAGTCGCTAAAGCGTCAAAATATTCAAATGCTGTCATAAGTTTTGGTAAAATCTCAGGCCGAATTAATAAAAATTCAAGATCGCCTAACAAAAGCTACATAAAACACTTGTAATAAATGTCACATGTAGTTTAGTAAACAAAGATGTTCAAGTTTTTGATGTTTTACTATTTTTTTCTGAACAAAAGCCTTAATTGGTTTACAGAAGCAGATGTGTGCAAAACAGTGAAACAAGCAAGTTTACCTAAAGGCATTTAAATCTAATTAAAGTGTTCCTGATAGCAGTTAAAATTCTATGACTCACATGTACATCTGCCCTTATTTAAGAAAGAGGTAAATTCGGGAAAAACATTTCTAAAAGACAGTGGCTGACAGCAAAATGTAAAAGATATACACAGCTGATAAGTATGTATCACATGTCAAACAAAAATAATAGGGCCAGTTATTCGATTCCGCCGCTGGCCTCGCTAGAAATCTAGTACTTGTGGTAAGAAGAACAAGCATGTTTGTAGCGAGAAATTATCGTTTCTTATAGTTGAGGCTAGTCTCAAGTTTATAAGCAATTTATCTTTTTCTTCAGATAGCAACTTTAGTTTATACCTCATTCTTCACAACTGTAATATCAAAGGTTTAGATTAGTTATCGCGGCCGTAGAAAATCCAAGGAGATACAACTTTGCGTTATCTTTCTGCGATTGATCTTGAACTTCTACGTATATGACCTACTTAGCCAAAATCTGAGATATCCAGAAGAGTGTGAGTACACATTAGCAAAATGTCTTCGTTACTAAATAAATAACCACCCATGTACGTTTTTACCAACTTCGAAAATCATTTTTAGGTTGTAAAATCAGACTACACTATATATTCAAAATTTTAGAAAAAATTATATACTTACTTGAGGTTAGTTATAGCAAAGATTTCGAGACATTTTCAAAAATAAGGTTCATCTATTCTATAAGATATAATTCTAGCAGCGACACAGAGTCTTAACAGAACTTTTATGATAAACTTCAAAAACATTTTTTATTTGAATGTTTTTAAAAATTTCTGGGACATGGGATATATAAAGTTTTCTCTCGATTCTGCATAATACGTCCTATATTTAAAAATAAGTGTTTGTTATCTAATAATGAATTTGAATGAAAAAATATTTGAGTAGCAAAATATGTGAAATGTAAAAAACAAACTAAATTCACGAAAGTTCACGAAATATCTTTGAAAAAAAATGAATATTTTGCTCTCTTTTTAGCTTTTTGTAGCTACGATACTTTTAAAATCGGTTAGTAAAACTGCATTTGGAACATTGTTAAAAATATTTATTAGTTATTGACTATCCTATATTTAAAGGGAATAGTGAGAAAATCTATTTATTGACTTACTAAATGCACACCATGTTATTTGAGTAAGCAATTGTATGACATAATTTGATTTTTCTCTGAAAGTTGGAAATAACGCCAACAGCTACAAAAGGTTAGTATAAAGGCAAACAGTCTCGTCAATATAAAAAACTCATTGTATTTAAACGTTACTGCTCTACTATAAGGTTAAACTATTCAGTTTATTTAGCATAAGATCGATTGCTTAGATTTATGAGGAAGTCTTGTTACACATGTGTTATTTAGAACTGTTCATTTGGACACAATTGTGCTCTAGTAGTTACTTATACATTTTTGGTAAACAAATTGGTCCATAGTGAAAACAATTAAATTCTAGTTCATTTTATCGTAAACGATTGACAAATTTTGAGTTTGAATCACTAGATTAAGTGCCTCTTTAAAATGCTTCACTGATTTTTAGGAAACGAAATGTTCTCTCATAAAAAAGAGTAAATTGATATTTGGTTACGTAGTGGCATGCACTGGCGGGTGTATTTTGAAAAGGTTGCAAGTATTTTTTATTTCATTCAAAGCATTGCTTCCTCACTAATTTTCAGGGCAACTAGTTATGATAAGAGAATATGAAATGATTTAACTCTACAGAAAACATGATATGGTTTTAAATTCTTTACATTTGTAATGAACAAAATTTTACATTCATGAAATTACTGACTACGCTTTAAGGGTCAATGTTTAGTTTTCACCACTGATCCATTTAAATTTTAGTGTATCAAGTTATTCTCACTGTGCCTACATGAGATACAACCACGTGCCCATATTTGTTATTCAGTGTTTATTAATAAATTTGCTAAACGTGTTAAAATTATTGGGTTGGCTTCAGAAGGATGTACAAATGGTCATTTCAATAGAGATGCTACATACTAGTTTAGGCACTCAGTTACTGAATTGAGTGTTTTTACATCGAATTTCAATACAGTTATTTAGGTTTCAGAAGTGTAATAGTTGAGAAGAATCTTGCGTTTTGAACTGTGGGGTTGTCAATTAGTCTTCTAACTGTTTGATTTTTTTCGAAGACTATGTTATTCACAAAATAATACATACAGTTTATTGACAAATGCAGTAACTTGAGTGACGCTTAGCAGTATAACTATGAGTTTTATTTATAGGAATTCTCTTTATGATGTACTCTTGGCACGTTTTGGGACTTTAAACAGTAAAGAAATAGGTCATCCCCCTTAACATTAGCAAGAAGACAATAACCTTTGGCAATGATTTTATTGTTGGGGTATCTCCATTTGATTAGTAATTCTGTAAGTGCAAGATAATTTTAAGTCTACTTGTTCTGAATTCATTTGTGGATTTAGAATATATACCAGAATAAATATGCAGATACTCTCGGTATTAATGAATCAAACCATTCTGCTTTCGGAATCCCTGACGTACAACACTCAGGAGTCAAACAGCGAAAAAGCCTGTAACAGTTGAGGCGAACGTTTTCTGGCTGGAAACAAAAGTAGATGAACGTGAGCTTACTAAGTTGACTGTTGGGCAAAGAAGGTTCCCACATAGACTTCCTCGGGGGCTTTTCAAAGTGCTTGACAGAACTCTTTTGGCTATCAAATCACGTTAAAGCAAGAATAATATCAGTTTCGAACGGTTACGGAGTTATTTATTATGGAGATTTCTTTTTCAACATATCTAGAACGTCAAACATACAGAAACAATAAAATGAGATTCATGTATATTGTCATTATTTATAAGTTAAAGAATGCTCTAAACATCAGCCAGGATTGTTCGTTTTTCCGGTGAGAGGAAAACAATTCATTTCATGCATTTGGAATCCATTTCACATTTCCATGTTTATTCATACTAAACAAAAAATCATCTAGCTGTTCCTTTTAGTTACTAAGTTATTCACGGGTCTGAGATAAATAATTTGTTACTTATGAAGGCGGAAAGAAGCACACGTTTTTAATACAAATGTGATTAGTTATAATCAACATTTATTAAGTACTGATCCACTTAGGTTCCCTTTTTATATTTGTAATCACGACTAAATCCAAGTTAGGTAATATATGAAAATGTAGAAGCACCAGATGGCTGTTTTGTTCCAGTATGTGACCCCTCGGCAGCACGCACCCAAAAAACCGTTACAGGTGATGAAACCCAGGGCCTTCCCACTCGCAAGCGAATGCTGTTTTATTGTTTCGTTTATTTAGTTTTTTTTTAAAATTAAATTGGACGTGAATTCAGAAATAAT